TTTCATTTCACTCGGCAAGTATATTCATGTACCCCAAGGGGAAAATATCGTACTTCTAAATATTGTTTATTCCGAAAAACTGTACTCCTGAAGGGACTACTTTGTTTGCTCTCCGACCTCATTTGCATATGGGTTGTGGAAATACCGATTTTGATTTCAGGGACGAATCAAAATAAACTGCAGTACATATGTAATAATAGACTTTACCCTAAATAAAAATCATTGTTATATCAGGCGCAATGTTATATAAACTTACAGTGTGTGCAATGTACATACTCGTCAGAAAACACAAGACTTATAACAGATGAACTGTCCCTTTATCCCATTGAGTGCCATTTTTTTTGCATTTTAAACATTTTAAAATTTTATTTATTTTTCTATAGTTTTGTTTCATAATTTTGAACCAAATGGACATTATTTCCTATATATTATATATCTCGATCAAAATTGTGGGGAAAAACATCAAAAAATGTTGATTTTATTTTGTGAAAAACAGTTTACTTTGGGACTTGTAGGGTTGAAAATTTGTTTGGTTTCTCTTTGGAAACAAATTGTCATACAGGTAGTACATGTGATAAGACTTTACACTTGAAAAGTTGTACATGTTGCAGTTGCTAGCAAGTGAGGAATCCCTAATTTGCTTTTGTTTTCAGGTTGGTGAAGATGGTGCTGGTCACTATGTTAAGATGGTTCACAATGGTATTGAATACGGTGACATGCAGCTTATATGTGAAGCTTACCATGTGATGAAAGATGCATTGGGAATGACATGTGATGAAATGAGTGAGGTAAGGGTCATGTGATGAAATGAGTTAGGTAAGGGTCATGTGATGAAATGAGTGAGGTAAGGGTCATGTGATGAAATGAGTGAGGTAAGGGTCATGTGATGAAATGAGTGAGGTAAGGGTCATGTGATGAAAGATGCGCTGGGAGTGACATGTGATGAAATAATGAGGTAAGGGTCATGTGATGAAATAATGAGGTAAGGGTCATGTGATGAAATGAGTGAGGTAAGGGTAATGTGATGAAATGAGTGAGGTAAGGGTCATGTGATGAAATGAGTGAGGTAAGGGTCATGTGATGAAATAATGAGGTAAGGGTCATGTGATGAAAGATGCACTGGGAGTGACATGTGATGAAATGAGTGAGGTAAGGGTCATGTGATGAAATGAGTGAGGTAAGGGTCATGTGATGAAATGAGCGAGGTAAGGGTCATGTGATGAAATGAGCGAGATACGGTTCATGTGATGAAATAATGAGGTAAGGGTCATGTGATGAAATGAGTGAGGTAATGGTCATGTGATGAAATGAGTGAGGTAAGGGTCATGTGATGAAATGAGTGAGGTAAGGGTCATGTGATGAAATAATGAGCGAGAAGGTTCATGTGATGAAGGAATGAGCGAGGTAAGGGTCACGTGATGAAGGAATGAGCGAGGTAAGGGTCACGTGATGAAGGAATGAGCGAGGTAAGGGTCACGTGATGAAATGAGTGTGGTAAGGGTCATGTGATGAAAGCTATTGGAATATATAAGTAACATTCAGTAAAAAATGTACGACACTGGTACATCTTGTGAGTTTCTGTTAGTTTACAGTCATACATAATTGGTCTAATAATTCCAGTATCTGATTCGCTCAAATTTCCCCCCCTCCCACAAAAATGTGTGTATTGTCATGGATTCTACCCTTATTGCCATTGGTATCATGTCCTTCCTATAGGTGTTTGCAGAATGGAATAAAGGGGAGCTAGACTCATTCTTAATTGAAATTACACGCGACATACTGAAGTTTAAAGATACTGATGGAGAACCATTGGTTGAAAAAATAAGAGATGCTGCTGGTCAGGTCAGTACACTTTCATTCTTCTCCATTACATTTCCCACTAATGTAATACTCCATTACATTTCCCACAAGTGTACTACTGCATTACATTTCTCACAAGTGTAATACTACATTACATTTCCCACAAGTGTAATACTCCATTACATTTCCCACAAGTGTAATAGTCTATTACAGTTTCCACAAGTGTAATACTCCATTACATTTCCCACAAGTGTAATACTCCATTACATTTCTCACAAGTGTAATACTCCATTACATTTCTCACAAGTGTAATACTACATTACATTTCTCACAAGTGTAATGCTCCATTATATTTCCCACAAGTGTAATACTCCATTACATTTCCCACAAGTGTAATACTCCATTACATTTCCCACAAGTGTAATAGTCTATTACAGTTTCCACAAGTGTAATACTCCATTACATTTCCCACAAGTGTAATACTCCATTACATTTCTCACAAGTGTAATACTACATTACATTTCTCACAAGTGTAATGCTCCATTATATTTCCCACAAGTGTAATACTCCATTACATTTCCCACAAGTGTAATACTCCATTACATTTCCCACAAGTGTAATACTCCATTACATTTCCCACAAGTGTAATAGTCTATTACAGTTTCCACAAGTGTAATACTCCATTACATTTAGTTTTGAAGCTAGAATAGATCAATCCTTTTATGGCTATTTTTTATATTGTATTACAATGGATTCCAGTTTGTTGCCACACCCATACCTGGTACCATGACAACCATACCTTTAAATGTTGCCTCACCTAGTTTGTTGATATATCACCTTGTTTATGCCAACAGAAAGGAACTGGGAAATGGACTGCTATATCATCATTGGATAAAGGTATTCCAGTCACACTAATTGGTAAGCAGTCATGTACAATGTAATATAAAATATCATATGTTGTCCATACACACAGATTTTGAGATTTGCCAGCAAGACATCGCAGTTAATTTTACATTCATTGCATTGTATGAATCCAACCTTCAAATACGTCTGACTGGCAGCCAGTTTGCTTCTCGCTATGCAACCTTCAGATGACTGATTTGCAGATATTTTGCTTTCACTATCCAACCTTCAGATGGCTGACTGGCAGCCATTTTGCTTTCACTATCCAACCTTCAGATGGCTGACTGGCAGCCATTTTGCTTTCACTATGCAACCTGTAGATGGCTGGCTGGTGACCATTCTTTCCAGTCATTTGTGAGATTTTGAAGTAATAAAACTGCACAATTTATATAATATATAGATGAAATGTATCGTAGTGTCAGAAATATAAATTATTTGATTTATTTCTAGGTGAGTCAGTATTTGCAAGATGTCTGTCTGCATTACAACAAGAAAGAGTTGAAGCCAGTAAGCAACTGAAAGGACCAACAACAACTAAATATGCAGGAGACAAAAAACAATTTATCGAAAATATTCGCCAGGTATTAATTAAGCAAATTTAATACTGAAGATTTTATAATAAATGTGTATAGTGTCAATTTCTACTGTTCATTATAATACCACTATTTTCACATCCAGTGCCACATAATTCTGTTTTACAACTAGAGGCATTGCCAACAACGTCAGTTTGAAACCTGTTCCTCACACTTATTTTTTTTTTTAATTTTGCATACAATTATTCAGAGAGAATATTTTGTTTAATCAAAATAAACCTCTAA